AAAAAAAAAAAAAAGAATGTGTAAGTATGTACGAGTACAGTGGACCATGTATTTATTAAATGGGGGAAGGGCTACAAAACTCCTTTTGCAGTAACTTCTGTAAGGAACATAAATGTTTCCATCATGTGATGGTTAATTTTATGCATCAACTCAACTGGGCCTTGGGACACCCACATACCTTGTTAAACATTCCTTCTGAGGATGTCTTCTAGGGTGTTTTAGGAAGAGATTAGCATTCGAACTTGTGGCCTGAGCAAAGCAGGTTCCCTTCCTGATTTGGATGGGCCTGAAAAAACAAAAAGGCAGTCATTTCCTGGCTGCTTGAGCTGCGCATAGGTCTTCTGCCTTTGGGTGCTCTTGGTTCGCAAGCCTTCAGACCTGAACTGGAATTGCCACCATCAGCTCACCAGTTCTTAGGCCTTTGAACTACACCACTGGGCTTTCCTGGGTCTCCAGCTTGTAGGTGGCAGATATACATTAATAGACTGTATATCTCCCATCACTTCTCCTTCTGCCGGGACTCCTAATATGCTTCATTTGTAAATACACAGAGTGAATGATGAATATGCACAGGATATCTGATCCCAGTCAATTACTACTTGGGAAGTTAACGAACAAGGACATTGTTTAAAGTATTATGAACAATTTTCTAGCTAATTAAAATTGTTCATTATCTCTTTATCATAACCCCTTTGACTCCTATGGTCTGTGTGTATGGAAATTAAATACTTTGAATGGAAATAAAAATGCAGTAAATTATCTCTTCAGACTACCCTGTTTCCTTCTGAAATTATTCTATCCTAAAATCTACCTAATCCTGGTTGAGCCCTCCACCAGAGCCCAGGGGTTTGCTGCAGGTTGCGCTAGGCTTGGAGCTCTGTGGAGAAGGCCATATCACTTTTCACCCAGTAACCTTTGGTCCGTTGTCCTGGTGCTCTTGAGTCCTTTTATCAGTTGGTCACTGTTTAACTCTGGGAAGAGACACACTAGAGAGCAGGTGGGTTCTCTGAGATGTGCAGAAGCAGTTGAAAGTCACTGAGTGTGAAGACATGTTTTACCCTACATTCTGAGATGTGAATGAAGGGAATCAAGAGTTCAGATTTTGCGTGGGCAATCAGGTCTTTATTCCACTTGGGTGCAAGTGAGCTGAGTTCGAAAAGGAAGTCAGCATGTGAGTTAAGGTGGATGGGAATATAAAAGTTTGGAGGGCTAAGGACTGGGGCATTCATTTCTTCCTGGGCAGAACATTCTATTTGGGCAAGTCTCTACATTTGGCCTTCTCATCCAGGTCTTTTTAGTCTATTAGGAGGCAGAATGATGGGCATGGTGTCTCTTTGACTACTTCCTGTGGTTGAGGGTTGGCGTGGGCTATCTGTAAGGAAAATGGGAGGAGGAAGCAGTGGTGTTTACAGGAACACTTTTGGGTCTTCAGTCTGAACTGGTTGATATCCATGTAGGTTGAGGATATGAGCAGTTGTTTTTCAGGTGACTAACTGGTTAATAAATCAGAAGATGAGGCAGAGGATTACTGGTCCAAAATGAAGACTGGGAAAGATAATAATTAATGGCCCTAAAATAGGAAATAACCAAGGAGGCCAGGAATTGAATAAAGACCAGGGATTAGATGATTCAAGATCTGTTTGTCTCTGTTTGATTTGTTCTTGGAAATCTTTTACTTTGCCCATGATCATTCCTGACTGGTTCACAAAGAAACATTCCTCTCCCCAAAATACATATGACTCCCTTTTCTGCTTTAATTAAATCTAAGGCTCGGCAACATTGAAGGACTACTGCAGCTAGAGTTAATTTGGAATTGTAGGGTGACTAGAGTCTGCTACTTTTTCCATGTCTTCATTAAGTTCTAGGGAGAGTTTGTGGTAAAAGTGGGTTGATGTACTTATGCCTGCAGTGCCCATCTCAATTCCAGCCACTTTGCCTGCTCCAAGGAGTACAGGGAGGATGACATCTCTTTTGTGTCTGGAAGTAGGGGGATGCATCAGGGCCTGAGTTAGAGAGGAGGTCTCTCACAAAAGGGACTTGAGAGGTGGTGGTGAAGAAAACTTGGGTGCAAAGACCAGAATGGCTAGCATGTAGGCACTGATAGTAGCATGGCTGCAGAGGAAAAATATTGCCAGAGGGGTACATTTGGAAGCAGATAAAGGAAAAGTTGAGATGATGGAACAGAGATCAGGTTTTCTAAAGCCCACAGAGTCTCCTGTACTGGTGAGATTGAAGCAAGTTAAACTGAGGAAGGCTAGAAGTGGAAAGTTCATAGTTATGGCACCAAACAGAGCTGTGAGATTGAGAAGATTTTGGTATGGAGAAAGGCACATCTAGAGGGGGAAAGGAGACAAGAGTTCAGGGCAGCTGAGAAGGAGGTGTTTAAAAGCTGGAGGGAATCATCAGGGTTGCTTGTCATCTTTAGAGGATATCTCCACCTAGTAGGGGAATGCTGCATGAAGAGATAATAAGGAATGAATGTCAGAAAGAGTATCCAAAGGCTTGGCGCACTAGCCACATACACCGGGACTGGTAGGTTTGAGCCCGGCCCAGGACTGCTAAACAATAATGACAACTACAATAAAAAAAACAGTTGGGTATTGTGGCTGTAGTCCCAGCTAGTTGGGAGGCTGAAGCAAGATAACTGCTTAAGCCCAAGAGTTGGAGGTTGCTGTGAGCTGTGATACTACAGCACTCTACTGAGGGGGTCATAGTGAGACTCTGTTGCCCCCCCCCCAAAAAAAAGGGCTCAGCGCCTCTAGCTCAAGCGGTCAAGGTACCAGCCACATACCCAGAGCTAGTGGGTTTGAATCCAGCTTGGGCCTGCCAAACGACAACTATAACCAAAAAATAGCTGGGTGTTGTGGGGGGTGCCTATGGTCCCAGCTACTTGGGAAGCTGAGGCAAAAGAATCACTTAAGCCCAGGAGTTGGAGATTGCTGTGAGCTGTGATGCCATGGCATTCTACCCAGGGTGACAGTTTGAGGCTCTGTCTCAAAAAAAAAAGTGTCCAGAAAGTGATCATCAAAGGGTGAAGTAGTATGAAGGTGCAGTAAATTACTGTCAATACCCACCATTGACATGTTTGTTTTAAAGAACCTTTGTAAGATGGCAGGGGGATTGCCTGAGCTCACATGTGCAAGACCAGCCTGAGCCAGAGTGAGACCCTATCTCTAACAAATAGCCAGGAGGTGTGGCAGATGCCTGTAGTCCCAGCTACTTGGGAGGCTGAGGTAAGAGGATCACTTGAACCCAAGAGTTTGAGGTTGCTGTGAGCTAAGATGTCACAGCACTTACAAAGGGTGACAAAGTGAGACTCTGTAGTGTGGAGAAAGTGGCCCCAAGGCTATCATTAAAGAGATTGGCTTACCTTCCACTAGAAAAAATACCTGAAGTTTAGTTCTTGTGATCTTCCATGGAGATCATCACTTTTCAGCAGCTAGGCCCAAGAGGTCAGGAAATTCATCCAAGTGCTGGTAGTGGCTATGAACCAGATCCTCAGAAGAAGCTGGGCAGTCAGACTTCCAGTGAGGACCTCTGTAGGCTCGCATGGCACAGGGGGAGGATTTTGATTTGGGCATTGTTTTGCCCAGGGTCCTGGCCTACTGCATTTAAAACAGGGGCCCAGGGGAGATTTTCTTTTTTCAGACTGCCCCGAGGAGTTTCAAGAACTAGCCAGGTTTTGTCTAACGTTGAAAGTCAATAACTGGAGCTCTGAGAGCCTGTGCCACTTAGAGGCCGCTTAGAGGCCTGTTCTCGGTTATTGAAGACCTTGAAGGCCAGGTCAATGAGATCTCGCTGGGGTGTTTTAGGGCCCTGGGAGGATTTTTTTTATTTTTTAGATATAGGGTACAGACGGAGAGATAAAATGCATGCTAATAGGGTGGAGATGAGGATAATATATACATCATGCCTGGTCAGATCATATGATTGAGTTAGATATCTAAGTTCTTGAGAGTATTTTGTGGGATCTGTGGAGAACAAACCCAGTTTCTGACTTATGTTGAATAGGTCTGAAAGAAAAAAGGGGACACGAAGCCTGATGATACCTTCTGGTCCCCTAACCTCTCAGAGGGGAACAGAGGTTGTGGTGGTCCGGAAGTGGAAGGTCCAAAGGTGTGGCTAGACCTAGTATGAGGCGGGGAAATTGGGTCTACCATGTTTCCTTCCCTGCCACCCAGAGATGCCCATGTGAAGCTGAAGGAGGGTGGAGGGGGATGGTGGAGAGATGGGGAATGAAGTGGAAATCTGCATGTAGGGAGGAGATTGAGGGTGGCGGGGGGGGGGGGGGGTTGTGGAGGGGCAGAAGGGGGGAGACTATCCAATAAGGCACAGCAGTGTTTCTAGCCAAAAGTGATCAAGGTCACACTTCACCTCTGCTGTTTGTTCAATGTAATTAGCCATTATCCTCCCCGGTTCCCCCCCACCCCACCTTCTTTCCACATAGGCTCAATAC